ATTTAACGCTATTCTGGTTGGAATAGTTAAGAAGGATTGGCCAAAGAAGATTCCTAATTTTGTTCCAGATCTTATTTCGATAAGTAAATCAACTTCAATGGCTGTATGTAGTAATTCACTTATAATTTTAAGAATGGTAAATGAGGAAGTATTTCATGGAAAGGAAGAAATTACAACTGTTAAGAGAAACATTTTAAAAGATGCGGTTCGTCAAGAATATTCTAAGATTTTTTCACTGATCCAGAATATTTTAGAATATTCTGAAAATGCTGATGTTGATAATGCTTTACTTGTTAATTGTTTTAGTTGTTTGATATCATATTGCAGAGATATGGATCCACAGTATATTTTTTCAACAAGAATAGTTGAAATGATAATTGCTCATTTAAATAGTGCACATGCAGTTTTAGTGTTAAGATCATTATTATCAATTTGTGATTTATTTGAACCATTGGAGATAACTGAGAAATTAGATGAAAGAACACTTAATATTCCCCAGGGTTTAAATAAAGAAACTGTCTTTGCTAAGATCAATTTGATTCATAGAGAGCTTATAATGTTTTTTAAAACATACTTGGGGAAATTTTCACCTGATTCATCATTAGAAAAAGAATATTCACTATTTAGTGATGAGGAGAAATCATTTATCAAACAAATAACACAATTATTTGTGTCAATTTATAAGAATTATCATCCTTACATACCTGATAGTATTTTGATAGAAAGTTTAGAACAATTTATAGAAATTTCTAAAATTAATGATCTACAATTATTTAAGGAAACTTTAAATGGCTGGGAAATATTGATATATGATTTCTATATTGAGTATCCAATAAGACCTGTACCAGATGGAAAGATTCGAAGATTTAAATTTAAAACAATATTACAGAGGATGATAAATGTGTTTGTTAAGTTTATGCCTAAACCAGAAAAAGTGTTTGTTACATTGAATGAGTTTCAAGAGGCTGTTAAAGTGAAAGAATTTACAACTGAAGAAATGGTGTTTTCAAAGAGGATGAATCAAACTTTTTTTAATTTAACATTTTGTATTGATAATCATGTAAAAGATTTTTTCTTAGTTACATTTAATAGAATAGGTTCTAATTCTGAGAAGTTTGATCCTGTTTATCTTAATAAGGTTTGCTGGGTTTATGGTTCTACAGCGGGTGCATTTGAGAGTGATGTTGAGGAAAGGATATTTATGATAGCTTGTAAATCACTAATGAGTCTTTGTTCAATTATACTTCATCGAAC